TAGACCAGAAAAAGAGTATTTCTAAAAGTAAAAATTGTGCCTTTCATCACTGGTACTCGCGTTGAAATTTATGCATAGAAACAGTTACTCTGTTTAATATGTTTTACAATAAGATTGTTTTATACATACAAGATTCTGCAACCAAGACAATCGGTTGCATGTATCATCAAGCGAAGTTCTCGTAAAACTACTTTATAAACATAAAAATAACACATGTTTATGTACCGTCATTTTTTTTGTGTGTAGCTACTCTTTACTTTTAACTTTAATTTTCTTACTAGTCTAATAATGTTAGAAACTAAATATACTTACGTGCTATGTAATATTGGAGTCAGAGATGCACGGTCCACGGGGTTCACCCCGCGGGCCCCGCGGGGCCACGTGGCGACGGGCGGGCGGGGAAGAAAAATTTAATTAAATACGGGGTTAACGGGGCACGGGTATTTTCCGGCCCACGGGCGGGCGGGGCGGGGAATAATTTTTTTAAAAAATACGGGTCTCGGGCGGGGCGGGTATGAAAGTCACGGGTTCGGGCGGGTAATCATTTTTTTTCGGGTGTGATGAAGGACCGTCAAAATTTATCAAGAGATGTCGTTAGTGTAGGTATGTAGTACAAAGTACATATTGATTGGTTCATTACTTTCATCCTATTATATACAAGCTTGTCTACCATTTGCTTCTTTCTTTCTTTATCGTATGTCATACGTAACTTCTACTATCAATTTATATTAAGTGAATAGCTGAACTAAAACTTATTTTATATTTAGAATTATCGTTTGAATTTTTTTGTGAATTACTACTTAGGTCTGACCAAAAGTTCTGACAACATTAAATAAAAATATAAAGATACGGAGGTATCTTTAATTTTATTTTATCAAATTTTGAGGACAGTTGCCATGATTATTAATACCAAGTTTGATCCTTTCCAACGATTGGTTAAAATTTTTTTCAAGCTTTTTCGAAAAAATTTTTAGGTATCATAGATACTGCATGAGCTAATCATATTTCATTTATTGTGAAATGTTAGCAAAACCTTGTTCGATCATGTCAGTTGCATTCTAGTACTGCTCGTGATGAGATATAGATTTATTTTAGATAGGTTAGTCATAAGTTATCCGATGCTGGCTGGCTTATTGAAGATGAATCGTCAAAGACTATTGTTCATGAATAAAGATTTTTAAAAATGCTTTGTTTGATATATTCTTTAAATCAAATACTTCTGAGTGTAGATAAAGGCAAGACTGTAAGTCACAAGTATTATGCTGAAAATTCTCCAAAATCTTTTATTAATGAAATATGGAAACAAACAGAGACATCAGGTTCAAAATGTACAAAATTGCTTGACGGTCATCGTTGACTTCATACTCATCTAATTTTATTAATTGCATGATAGAAGAAGGCATCAGTATAATATCATATCTATCATATTCGCCAGGCCTGATACTATGTAACTTTTCGCTAACTAATTCTACCAAATGTAGTTTAATTGATTATATAAATGAAACATGATAAGCTCATGCGATATCTAAGATATCTAAAATTTTTTTCGAAACAAACTTTTAACAAATTGTTTGAAAGAATCGAATTTGGTATAAATAATCATGGCAACTGTCTTCAATATTTGATAAAATAAAATTAAAGATATCGCCTTATTTTTATATTTTTATATAATGTTGCCAGAAATTTTGGTCAGACCTAAGTATGATCGAATTACATGATTTATCTCCTGATGAATCACTTGATAGGACAGCTTGGTCGAATACTAATCATTCATCTACAATTATTTCTTCAGCTCTCAGTCATTGCTTATCGAGTAATATTAAATATAATTTGTTAAATATAAAAATGTTTTTAAAAGAACAACTAGAAAAATACGTGCTTGTCGACAATCATAAAGTGAATCATTCAAAACCATCTTATATAGACTTAAGTTTTGTTTTTGTAAAAACTGATTATTCATAAAAGGAATGCATCATTAAAAATAAAGTATTTGGTAAATAAAAAATTTCTTCGGGTTACACGGGGGCGGGTCGGGGCCCGTCACTAAATTGGCGGGGCGGGCGGGGCGGTCCAAGAAGCTGCCTGTACGGGGTACGGGCGGGGCGGGTATAGATTTGCCGGGGCACAGGCGGGGCGGGGATTCTCATTAAGAAAATCTACGGGGTTCGGGCGGGACGAGTTTGTGAATTCTACGGAGCGGGCCCCGCGGGGCATGAAAAATCAATGCCCCGTGCATCTCTGATTGGAGTGTAGCAAATTTTGTTTTGTGTGCTTGCAATCGATTTTGTTCTGTATTTATCATTGGCAAAATTACTTGGTTTTTTCCCACAAACGTATATTTACATGAATCAATGAAGCATGACTTTTTCATCATGTAAACGACTTTTTCGACCATGTGTTCGTCATAAAATACGTTTCGTTTTTCATATATTCTACTTCTTCCTTTTTTACCTTACCTTTGCGTTTCGTGTTGTTGCAATGATAAAAAATACACTGATGCTTGTATAAGCGTAAATTTGAGTAATGATGATTCATTAGACTTTGAACTTTATTCTAATCTCTATATAAATATTTTCTATCGTAAAATTTTTTTTGAAATTGATAATTATAGAAGTAGTGTTGAAAGCTTCAAAATAAATAAATGAAAAATTTTATATTTTTTATTTTATCGTTCGATGTATGAAAAACTCTATTTATCACTCAAACTTCGTTAGATGCATCCGAAGAAAGTATGGCGAATGTGCTTTAAGAAGACTCAGGCATTTTGAGAAGTGGGTGTGAGTGTTTGTATTGCTTATCCCTACACATCCCGACCCTCAATTATTTGGTTTAAATATCTAAGAATTTTAATCATAATCAAGCAATAATCAACAATCAATGAATAGAAGTAAAAAATATTGATACAAATGAATAACATCTTTCAATCAGTATTCAACAAATAATGAATGATTTTAATTTCAATGTAAATCTTTTTTTAGTATATTGATATGGTATGTTATATTTGTTTACAACATAATGATCATAATGTTGTATCAAGTTCATTGGAAACACATGAAATTATACTTAAATATTCAAATTTATTTGATTTTGATCAATTATTAATTTCAACCCAAATTGGATCTATAGAAGAGATTCGTGTTAGTGAAGCCTGAAAAACAGATAAATATTGAGAAAAAAAACAAGAATTTTTTTTTTCATTTGTTTTGTTTTTCTAAAACAATAGCTTATTCAACATGTCAACGTTGATTTATTGAAATGAATGATGAATTCGATTCAACATCAATGATTAATAATGAAAAATGAATATCAGCTGCTAAACTTGTTAATCAATTATATTTTTTTTCCGATTGGATATATACTTAATATGGATGGTACGATAAAAAGTAATGATGAATCATGTATTAGTGTTAAATGTGCTATACCAATATGTCTATCATATTTATAAACAGTTTGATCCATTTGTTTATCTTACTAAAAGTATGTTTAATTCTTGTTTGACTTTTTTTTATAATCCAAAATTATTTCTAATATCGTAACAGTAGGAGGGCTTAGGTGAAGGGGATTATGGCAGAGTTTAGTTGACGTGGCTTCAATTGGTTAAAGTCTCAAAGTTTTAGTGAAAGTTATCTGATAGATATGACAATTTCACTATTAAATTGTTGAAACATATATATATATTGGAATCTGAAAATTCAAGAATGGAGATTTCTCGATATTGATTCATCAGCTCTAGCCCTATTCCTATTTTTAATTTTTTTGGAATCAACAAAAGACTAGAACATTATCAGACTCGAAAAGATATCAAGTAGAACACTTTATTGAAGCTCAAAGCCTGCATTTATACATCGAAGATTGAAATTATACAATCATATAACTACCTCAAAAAAGTTCTAAGCCGAAGTTCGAGATATGAAATCAATTGTATCCTCTAAGGAGTTTTTCATTAGTCTTTGAAGACTTCTGATTAAATATAGTTTTGTAATTGATATGAAATTTCCTAATGAGAAAAATAAAATTCCCATCTCTATATGACTTGAAATACATTAAAATTTATCGAACATCAAGGCATCTTTTTTTTTCCTTTCTTTAAGATATTACATATCTTTTATCTTTATGTGAACATGGTGATCTACATTTACGTGGTGCATGTGCAAGTTTACTTGCTACATTAATTCAAACAACAATTCATCTTTTATTAAACAATGTTCACTTGTATCAACTGATTCACAAGACAGTTCAAGGTTATATGTCTTAATGATAATAATGCACGTGTTATACATGTTTTATTAAATGCTTTACGAACATTATTACCTTTTTTTTATTAATTAATAGTCATGCATTTACAATCATAGGAATTTAATTATTAGAAGATTCTATTCAACATACTACAAGTTCCTGTATTCTTGCTAAAGTAGATAAAAGAAATTTATGATTATAATAATTTTTTTTTGTATGTATATAAAATAGTTTGCGCTAGCTCAACTTATAGATGATATTGATTTTCGAATATTAACTTATCTTGAACAACAATTAAAACAACAGTACCCTGATATACGTGTTCGTCAAGCAATTGCTTCGACTTTTGCTAAGTATGTATTTTGTAGAGATAATAACTACGTAGCTTTTTTCGAATTTGAATGAATAACTCGATTTTATTACATTAAGTTAGTTATTAGCTACTTTTTGATTTTAAGGTTTGTTGATCACAATTCATTTTTACCATGTCAATGGATATATAAAATTCATCATTCATTACAAGCTCAAGCATCAACTGGAATACAAATTGCTTGTCATTTTTGCCTTTTATATAGGTTGGATATTTAAAAGATATTTATGTTCCTTCAAATGTTTTAAGACCAACAACAATTCGTCCAATTTTTTCATAATCAATATGATGAACTTCGTTGACTTATGCATTTTTTTAAACATCCATTTATATTACATGATCTTAATAATTTAATCTTTTCAAGTAAAGAGAAAAAAAAGATATTTATTATGTTTTTTTTTTGAATTCTTTCTTTTTATTTGAAGATGTATCAAATCTCAACAAATGAACTATTCTATTACCATTCTCGAATTATTGCAAAAATATGCACAATCATCATTCTTTTGAACAGAATATAGTTGATATTTCAGTTTTCAAAGAAGAAAGGAGTTTCAAAGTGTTAGATTTGAAGAATATATGTAATCGTGTTTCGTCTGAACGAATTCATTTGTTTTTCTTTTTAAAGAGAATAATAAAGATTCATCAGCAACATCAAACACAGACAAAGTTAAAAAAGTTAATCATACACAACTATGTACTTTTGGAAATTATTCGAATTAATATGTTCATCATATCAAATACATAAAAGTTTATTAAACTCATCAGAAATGATTATTATTGTCTATGAAATCAGTTCTAAGTCTTATTTCTACACAAGATTTATCAAAAAAATTTGAAAGAAACACTTAATTATTTTAAATCAAACATTCAATGTACACAAAACGTAACTTCTTTTAAATAGTAAAGATTTATTGTAAAGAAAATTTCAATTATTAATCTTCTTTATTTATTGGTTAAGCTAAAACCTTTAGGATGTTGTATTGTGTCTGAAACTTGTCTATGGATAAAACTTTCGATGGAAATCTTATAATGAAGGTTTCTGAAAGGGTCTTTCCTAGAGAAGGAAAATTTCAATATAAGAATGTCATAGTTACAGAAAAACTGATTTTACGAATGTCGATGATCTTAACGAGAGTAGTTTTGTTGTGAAAGTGTCAGATCTTTTGATTCGGTTCTATCTTGAAATTCGAATATTGAATCATCTAGTTTACGTCAGTGATCTGCAAGACACGCTATCAATTCGAAATTTGAAAATCATTTTTTCTGTTAACACAACATTCATTTAAAAATATTCTTTTAATTTAGTTTTTATTAAATCTTCAAATGCTTCTTCACAAGTATCATTAAATAATTCTTTAACTTATATTTATACAATAAGTATTCGACAATCGATAATTTATTTTATTTGGTTCACGTTATGCATCAAGTATAAATAGTGAGCAATTCATAGAAAATAGTGCAATACGACAGTAAAATAAACAAAAAAAAACGAATTTGATCTATTCTGTTTTTTTTGTTTTCTATTTTAGTTTTTATTGAACTAAAAAAATTAGTCTTAAAAAATATATGAATACAAATGAAAGTGATTTTCAAGCTGCTGTACTCAATTTACTTGTTCATTTACTTTTAATTCGTTTTAATTATAGTTGATTAGAAGCTGATGAAATTCGTTGTATTTCTAATCGTTTCGTTTATTTTTAAATAGCATTTTATTTATTGTATTGCTGAATTTCTTGTTATGTTATCACATGATACACTTCATTCAAAACGAGTTATTAAAATGCAAGATTTAATAAAACATTATGATTCATTATTAACAAGTGGACATGAACCTGAAATACATGGTAGGAAGCAAAAAAAACATTTTCGAAAAAAAGAAATGATCGTTAAAATTCTTTATTTAGCTTTGGCGGCATTAGAACCAGTTTTATATGATTATTTTTTCTTGTTCGTGTTATGCGAATAATTAAAATTCCTAAAATGTTTACTAAATGAGAGTGAACAAAAAGTGTCCTTCTATAAAGTCTCAAATATTTTCGAAACTCGAGAGGGTGTGAGTGTGGGTGTGTAGATGTAATTTTTCTCCTCGATTGAACCCACCCCCACACTTCAACGAATTGATGATCTGAAAATAATCATCTTGTTGTTATGCATTTGAGTTTGAAGGAAAACTAGGCGTCTTAATTATTATAAATAAAAGTATCTTTTCATGTCATGTGCATGTACTGAAAAAATAATAATAGAATTTATATTGTTATAGGATTTACGATTGTTAACAGTTATTGTTAATAGTGTTCAAATTGACGATGATAAATGGAAACGTCTTTCACAACAAATTGTCGATTTACTTCTTGCTCATTTACAATCTCAGGTTATTTTTTTGTTTTAATAGTCTCTGATTTTACGTTACTTTGTTTTTTGTTCAAATAGAATCAATCACTTTTGGATATTTATTCCACACAATTAACACTATTTGTTGTTGTCTCATCAGCTGCATTACGATCAATTGATCCATTTGTTATTGCTTTTCGAGCATTAGGAAATAGAAATGTCCGTTGTTTTTATTTATAAAATTTTTTAGAATGTCAATTGTCAATGTACAAATCGATAATTAATCAATATAAATATAATACTTCAATGTCTTGTGCAAAATTTAACTGAAGATGCTATATTAACACGATAGAAGGATGTTTTATTATCAGTTAATGAAACACGAGATGAAACTTTTAGTACGTAAGTATTCGAAATGATTTTATTTATAATTTAAAAACTATTATTCTCGTTTTTGTTTTCAGAGCTATTCTTCGAATTTTACATGACGTAATATTACGAATTTTAACTAATACTTGACAGTTATGTGGTCAAATCAATATGACATTAGTTTCCTTGCATCCGATTATCTTTATGTACATATCACCCATTAATTTGAAGATAAAACTTTCCTGCAATTCATTAATTACTAATGACCTAGCGAAAAACATTTGACTTTAAAATTCCTATGCTTATATACGATCTATAATTTTATTTTGGCTAAACAATTTCGAACAATTGTAAATGATTTTCATCAATTATGAATTCATGATAAAACTCTACATTGTCTTGATATATTTTCATATTTAACTATTTTAAATGAATGTTTTAAATTATTATGATCATCATTTTATATCTCATTATTATTACAATGGATACATATTCTGAATATGCTTGATTATACACAAGAAGCATGCTGGTCACCAATATTAACACCATCACCATCAAGAATACATTATCTATAAGTGGTTAATTACAATCATATTGTGATTTAATATGTCATTATGAATTATATGTTGAACATTTTACATCAATAACAACACATTATCAATTATTATTATTATTTTTTATTTGATCTTACACATCATACATCAGTTGCAAGTAATTTATTTTTTGTGAAGGAATACATTTAGATGAAAGTGGTCTTCTATTAGTTTTATTAGTTGAACAATTCCTTCCATTACCATTAAATAAACAATTATGACCTAAATATATACCATAAATTTTATAAATATTATCAATAAGAACATCAATTGATATTATTAAAGAAGATTTTAATAATCTGAATTATCCTATGGATATAACAAGAAAAATTGATGCACAAATGCTTAAAAATATAACTTATAAAAAATGATTACCATTTATGATGTCAGCGGTATATTTTAGTTTAATTTATCGAAATAAATATATATATGTATAATAAAAATTTTAATCCAATTAAAAGAAATGTTTTTGTTTTTACTTTGACATTGTTAATGTGCTAGCAATAGATGAGACTTTTGAATAATTCAAAATTTCGAAAAATATTTTGAAATAGAAAATATGCAGAATTTCAGGTAA